GAGAGAGAGAGAGAGAGAAGAGAGAGGGAGTAAAGTCTTTATTATATTTATAATGAAGGGGTGTAATGATGGGATCTGATCTATATAGCTGTCCTTCACTATAGTATAGAGTATAGAATGTATTATTCATTATTCATAACCTTATTTAATTTCAGATACAACACACACACACACACACACGCACACACACGTATATATATATATATATATATATATATATATATATATGTGTGTATGCGTGTGTGTGTGTGTGTATGTACACGTAGCCCTGCAACGCGCTCATATTTCACAGGAGCTTACGATACGGCTTGCGATTACAAAAGTCCGCGGTATCGAAGGCACCGGGAGCGTGCAGGGAAGGATTAAGCGCGAGTCGATATCTCTTTTCTAACGCGTAGCGCATATACAGCAAGTATTGTACACGATACTCACGAGTGGTGAAGCTGTGGTCCCACCAGTCAGTTCGGCAGAGATACGCTTTGAGATCGTCGGCGGTCCGCGCGACGATCACGACGGGCGGCGCGACCAGGGTCCTTATGCTCAGGAACACGCTGAACGTCAGGACGATGATGCCGAGCCGCTTCAGCAGGCTCGCGTCCGTTATTTTCACGGCCTTCGCTGATTTCACTCGGAAGATCACGGATATCCTGCAAGCACAACGTCACGGATCTCTTCAGCGGATATCTCTTTTTTTTTGGCCTGCCTATAGCGATTCCCGTTCTGTTTCTTTTTTTTTACCTTATTTTTCGATTGACCGGGCCGAGTCGCCCTCGTAGTCCGACGAGGGAATTTACGGATTCAATGCTCTAAACGGCGGGAATCAGCCGGCATTTTGTAAATCTAAATAGGTCTATTGATATTCTATAAACGTATATTTGACGTCAACGGCATCGTTATTTTTTTTCCAACGCTAACAATCGCGCTAGTTATGAACATTGCATAGGCGCTAACGAGTCACACATGCAAAAATTATATGAACAAGTGTTATTAAATCTGTCGAAAGCTGTAAAAATTACGAGTCCTGATTATTTTTGTCAAAATTTGTATTTTCCAGCAGTTCGAAAAACTAAAGGCGTCGCGTGAAATAATCTTAAAATATATATTTTTAGAATTAAAATGAAACTCCGCAATTACAGCTTTATGCATAAAACGCAAGAGAAAACTTTCGAATTAGTTACAAAATAAATGTAATACGGAGTCAATATAACGTCAAGACAAGTAAACGATTCTAGATAACAGATCAATTAAATATAATTGACAATGAAAATTCGACGAACGTCATTCTTACGTCGGCGAAACGAATAAGGAAAATGGTCACGAAACGAGCGAAATGTAATGTCATCAAGAAGTGAAGTACACTTACCGCCAGGTTTTGAGCATGAGTGCCCCGTATGTGAGAGAAAAGCCAATTTCTCGCAGCCATACGCGCACGGTGCACGTGATGATGTTTGGCCTGGGATACATGACTATAGTCTGCAACAAGCAACCGCATATTCTGCAAAGCGATGCTGCGTGAGCAATTTCCGACGATTATTGCGTGTGTCGCGCGCGCCGCGGTGGCGGCGTATACACATCTGCGCATCACCGCGCCGTCCTCTCGGGTTACTCGTTCCCATTTCTATTAATCGTGTAAATTTTAACAACGTCATTTCGATAAATTGCCTCGTTATAACGTTGCCGGAATTTGTAATTACGTAATTAGAATGTAATATTTAGAGCACTTTAGATACGCGCCTTTGAAACCGTGACGGGAGGCACCCATCATCATCAAATCGCCGTCTGCCGCGTATTTATTATTTGTGTGTGGACAAAGGATACATAGGATATATATGACCGGATACATATATATGTGTGTATAAACGGGCACGTGAAATTCATCATTAACTAATATCTAAATAATTATTCATGTTTAACATAGCATACGCAAATATGAAAATGGTACATTTATGATGTATCGCGCGCGTATCACGATAGAGCGGTAAACATAAACGTATCAAGTGAAATATTATCACTTAATGTACTTACCTCAATATTACTCTATACATGAATTTTTAAGTGTCAATTTTGCTGTTTACCGAACCCTCCAACGCTAAATCGCTATTTTCGTTCTCCAAGACGAGCATGAAATAACGATGCGAAAAGGTGTTTTCTTTTCCTTTTACTCTTCGTCTAACTTATATAAAACTATTTATAAGAAGATAACAGATGCTGTTATCAATATTACAAAAAAGAAAGTCGTAAATATAATATCCGAATAATATTGGAAAATCTACTATATGGAAAACGTACGGAGAGAGAATACAGAGCGAAAAAAGAAAACAGAAATTCTCGCTGAACGAGCACTTGCGAGCGATTTTTCTTTTGTGTAACACGACGTTCTGACATCGCATAAACTTCGGACTTCCAGCGCGGATTCATAGACATGTGAGAATTCTCGGAGACTAATAACTTTTCGCAGATAAAAATGGGACAGCGAGGAGAGAAATTGTTAAAATACAAGAGAGGAATGTAGTAATAATAACAGCGCGTGTAAACAGTTTTACATAAATTCGCGTTTTCATCACGCGTATTCGCGTTTATTAAAAATACGTCTACGTATAATAAAAACTAAAAAAAAAATAATAATAATAAAAAAGGTATGCGCGTAGCAAAAAGTGTAATAAATTCTCTTCTCGCGTGAAACAACTAAGCCGTAATTTTTCCTTTCACGGTTCGAAAATTAAGCTCAAACTCTCCCGGAAATTTTGTAAAATTACGAAGCAGGAGTTCTGTCTCAAATAAGACGCCCCAGACGGCGCGGCGGTGGGAACAAGGAGAAATTACGAACGGCTCGCACCGCAAAATTCGACGATGCGGCCTCGAGTTTCCCCGGGTGCCACGCTGTATCGCGCGATTTACGCCGCGGCAGGTTCTCGCGCTCGGCGAAGAGATATATAATACCGAAGTTTAGTGAGAGAAACGGAAGGCGGTACACCCGGCCTCGGCCATAAGCGGGCAAATGACGCCCCATTAAGAATAGTACTTCGAGTTTAAGCGAAGTCATCCGGGAGTTCGTACCTCGTTGTAAGAGCAAACATTACGCGTAGGCGCGTTTTCATCCCAACGGGAGCGACGACGACGAAGACGACACCACCAAGTTGGGGAGCACTTGAAAATGCCCTGGCCGCGCGGCACCTTGATACTAACCCCTTCACGGCCGTGCCATTACTCCAGCGCGAGAGAAAAATCACGTCGCCATTCTAACGGAGAGGGTCACGTTGCCGCGACGCTTACACGTGGCGTCCGTAGCTCGATGCTCGCGCAGATCCGTCGTCCGCGTGTGTATGTGTGTACACGCGCGCCTTTAAGTATCCTATATATATATACGTCTAGATGTCCTTGGAAAAGAAGAACGTTAGCGTTTTATATTTTACGAGAGTTCGCGTTTTCGCTTTCCGCCCTTTCTGAGGCGGACTGCGCCAACATTAGGTTTAATTTTTGTTGATTCCGAATGCCACGCGGGACTACGGGAATTCACCCGGGGAACACACTTGTTGTCACTTTAGCTAAACTTTCGTAGTAAATTCTACAATTCCCGGAGACTGTGCTGTGTAACTTTGGTGTAAGTGAGTGTCACATAACTACTTTCCTGCACAAACACCTCACCGTAAACAGCGAATGCCCGCGCCAGTTTCCGTTTAATTACTACAGTTGAAAGTTTACCATTTAACAGTTTTGCAATAGAACGATACGTATAAACATATATATATATATATATATACAGTCACCAAACTAATTGACCGGACACTGCGTTAATATATCGATAATTTCTAAAAATTCAAGATAGAGCAACTTTGTCAAAAATTATCATAACATAACGATCGAAAAAGCATTTCACAGCTTAAAGTCTCTACTTTTAAAATCCATAATTCATTAAATGACTTACTGATTCTTTACAAAGCTGCACGGATGCAAATGGAGATGCATCAAATCTAAAAATTTTTTACCAAGTTTGCGAAGTTCCAAAAAGTAAAATAA